TCCCTGGCCCGCAGACTTGTCCTGCCTCGCCCGCTGCTCCCCTCAGTAGTGTATTTCAGTCAGTCTGCCTGTTCTGCTCCCCATTCTGTCAAATCCTCTCACCCGTCTATATCCCAGTTCCTGTATGCATGAAAAACAAAACAAGGCATACCACACCTGAAATGTGTTATAATTCCTCTGGTGCTTTTTAACTGCTCCTTGAAACCTGGTCTGTATTCTAGGGGCTCATTTGACACTTTTTCTCAGAACTCAATCTACCTGGCCCTTTCCCAAATTACATATTAGCTTTTAAGACACTGGAAGAGTTGGTACCAGGATGCCAAGCAGGAATTTTATGTTCCCTACAGATAAGAAATATGAAGATAACAAGATGTGCATGATCCTGTGGCAGCCAAACAGAAGGTTAGTCATTCCCTGAGGAGTAACTTACTTTTATTCTCTGAACAAGCATGCCTGCTCAGGTCTGTGATAGACTAAGAAAAGGGAAACTAACTATTCTCATGTTCTCCATTCCCCAGAAAAAAGGAAAGGCAGTGTAAAGGGCAGGACAGGCCACAGTGCAGGTTTTCTGATCCCATGCAGGCTGGGTAAAGGAGGAGTCAGAGTCCTCAGTAGTTTTGCAGGTTTTTTATTTGGGGTTCACCAGGCATATGGCAGGCAGGGGTGCTGGCTGGGGGGCTGGGAGGCTGGCAGGCCTCCCAGCCCCCAGGAAATCCTCACTCTATCTGGGCTCTCTGGCGTTGGTTCTGCTGCTTCTCGGCTTCTCTTTCGGCTTCTGCTTCGGCTTCTACTGCTGCTGCTGCTGCTGGCGTCCCCCCGAGACGCCGCCCTTAAAAAGCACAGTCTTAGCTCAGCTGAATCCCATCTACCTATGCCCACACCCTATTCCAGGTGCCCGCCATCAGGCATGCATTCAGGACAAGGATCCATCATCTATCCTGATGGCGGGAGGGCAGAAAAGCCTGATATTTTCTTTACCCTACAGGCAGATAGCCAGGAAAAGGGTAAGTGGGAACTTGTATTTTAGCATTAAAAAAAAATTTAAATGTGGTAAAATCATCACTGGATTGTGCTTGTCATACACTAAAAGTAACAGATTCTCCACACTTTCAGCAACCTAACACTGTTTCTAGATCTTGCTAACTTGGCAATGAGTCTCTTAAAAAAGTCTCTACAATTATAATTTTTAAAGATTCATCAAATTTCAGATCACATGATATTCCAACTTCCTGAACAGACCAATGTCAAAGTTTCCAATCAAAAGTGTCCCTGTTGTCATCAGATACTAGTGTTCAAAAGGAATTTTCCAAAGTCACAAACTCAAGTAGATTCATCAAAAACAAACTAAAGGAATTCTGGATATTTCATAGACTTTCTAAGCACAGAGAAGGTGTAAACAGCATCCTGTGAAAGACATACTTTAAAGAAAATGACTGAAGTTTCAGGTGAAAGCTCAGATAGCAAAGAAGAGTTTTAAATGAGTGAAAGCAAAATATGAGAACAGGCAATATTAGAGGAATGAAATAGCCGCCAAAACAGAGAATCCTGAGAAGTTTGGGTCTTTGAGGTTCATAGTGACATGCTTCCTTCTAGTGACATGACCATTTGTTGTTCAGAAAGACCCCTTTGCCTCTGTTTAAGTATTTTCCAAGAGATGTTTGTCTAAGGAAAAGAATAGACAGCGGTCCAAGTTAAGTGTAAGCCTTCATCAGAGTAAAATCATCTGTTTTACTTGTAAAGAAGAATCCCAAGTGGGGAAAAAACAAGACTTTGATTTTACTAGAAAGAAAGAATCAAGGACAAATTCATACGTGATGTGAAAATGGATAGAGTTACATCACAGTTTCTGGACACTAAGCAGAGAAAAATGTATTTGTGAAGTTGACAACATGCAGCACTTAGTAATAATCACCTCTTTTTAAACTAGAGAGGTAGAAAAAGAAATTCTATAGCAGGTTTCTTTTTCTTTAATACATCTGTAACCAAGGTTAAATGGTATAATTGCTTTCAGACCTTAAAGAGCACAAAAAAAAATTATTTAACTTTCTCTGTAAGGCTTGTATTTACAGATAAGTAATAGCAACAACCCAGCTGTGCCCTAGGACCAGCTGGAAACAGAAAACAAAGAGAAAGAAGGGGCTGCCCCCTTTTTTTTACCAGGCCCATCGTAAAAAGCATCTATCTGTTCAAATTCTGACTGCTTCAACCTGTTTAAGGTCTGCAAAGTGACGAAAGACAGTGCTGAGGAGAGCAGTGGGCGGCAAGAGAGGTCTGCGCGCCATGTGGGACCCTCACCGGTGGCTGGGGATCGAACCGGTGCTGCAGAGGTTGCAGGCAGCTTCGCAGCCCAGCGCTCAACCGCTGTGCCACCAGGGGAGGCCCTACAACACTCTTTTTGGTGCTTAAGCTGGTTAAGACCAATCTTGCCAGAAAAAGGGGCATTAATGCAATTCCTGGAAACCCCTGCCTATTTCTCTGAAATCCTACTCACTCAGATCCTTCAGCTACTCCCTTTATCAGAACTTTCCCATTAAGTGCCTGCTTTTCCCTAATTTGGAGAGATGGCCTTGGGACAGTAGTCTGCCATGTCCTCAAGTTGCCAGTATCTGATCATACCTGAATTCTTTCCACCAATTCTTGTCTCTTGTTTTGGTTTATGAGAAGCAAGTCACTAACTCCCCCAAAATTCCTGTTACATTTTCACCAAAAATTATACATAATAGCATGTCTATTTGCTTCTTGGGGCTTCATCCGCCTCAAAATCTCCTAGAATTTATAGCAATCCCCTTCATATGCAAGTTGGGTTTTATTTGTTTAGCTCAGAGGTATTTCTCAGAGGAGTGATACCTGAAGACCTTATGAGAATGAATTCAGAGAATACCACTAAAAGCATCAAAAGCAGAAGTTCTTCATTAAAGTTGGATGGACTGAAGACATGAGCAAGGAGATTGAGCAGAAACATACAGATAAATCTATTTACATGAAAATTACAAACTATATCAGCCGAAAGTACAGCAGGTAAGATGATCTGGCTACATGGTCCCAGAGTAACAGATTTTGCTCTCATCTCCAATGATGGAGCTCCCTGAATTCTGAACACATGATTTGTAATTTTATTACTCAAAGAATCTCAATCACTACCACCATCAGGTTAGTGTTTTATGATAGAGCACTCAACACTGTTCTCTTTACTATTCAAGTGATAGCTGACTTTGTTGAACCGGGCAGCACAAAGGGCCACACAACCCTTTAGTCATTTGATTCCTCTACTTTTACACAGTCCCACTGATTATTTTTTAAACAATTATTTGTGCTCCTTTTTAAACACATTTTTCTTTTGGTTCCCACAAAAACAATCATAGACTAGATTTTTGTCAGCTTCTCAACCAGTCTCCTCACCTCCAACAAATCCTCTTTCTTAAATCTACTTCATGTTAATCTGGTATTCAAAAAGTCATTTTTCTTAACTAGGGCATTCTTCTGGTTAAGAAAGAATGCCCTTTCTTAAGGCTGGGTTGACTCATTGTACTTTCTCATTCCTATACCTGTCCATAGTAAATCCTAGAGCTGGTACATGCATCTACCTGTTCAAATTCTGACTGCTTCAACCTGTTCAAGGTCTATCTCCTCAAAGAAGCTTTCTGTTAACTATTCTTGAATTTATTGTACACAACACTCTTTTTGGTGCTCAATTGCCAGCTGCTTTATATGTTTACTTTCCAAATGTACTTGTCTTCCTCAGATGTGGCTTTAGGACCACATCTTACATGTCTTCACTGTTTCTGAAACTATCCTAGTAACAATATCATAAAATGATGAGTCATAGTACTTAAGTGAACATGATTAGGAAGCAGAAAATTTCAAATTTCAATCCTCATTATATTCTTTTCAAATGTGGTGATTTGGGAAGGCTACCTAGCTGCTACAAATTTTCACATATTAAAACAGAAATAATACCGATTATATAGCATTGTTGTGAAGTTTACCAGAATGTGTATGTGTGTGCATGAATGTGTATATACACACACATACAATTTTAACATAGAATTTGGTCCATAGGGAGTGCTTTTTAAACATATGACTATTAGATTTTGCATATAATTGACACTCCTCTTTGAACAATATGTTAAACTGCAAAGGCCATGCTAACTAGTTTTTCTTATACTGTCAAAATTTCATTTTATATTAAGTTTCACACCCATGATCATTATTTTAGTCAAAAATTGCTTTTTCTAAAATAAATTACAGTAGAATAGGAAAGTTAACTTTTACCAGGACCTAGTATATAGAACTCTGTGCAAGAAGAGTTTCAGTCCAAATACAGCTCCCAATCTGCATGATTTTCAGCAATTATCATTTTAATAATGCAGCTAAAGCCAAGTCAGAGCTAAAGCCAAATCAGAGCCTTTGGTAAGGCTAGAAAAAGTTTCCAGAATGTCAGGCCATCAGATAAAGATTTTGTGAGACAGAATTGCTAGCGTCTATCTAAACTGAAAGTCAATGATTAGTGATCATGACCAGTTTTTTCTATGACGAAATTTAAAGTTTGCTTTCAACCAACTAGACAATTACCAACTCTGATGAGTACCTTTAAAAAACAGTGAAAATGTTGCAATCAAGTATATTAAAAACTTACAACAACCTCCTGTTTTGTTAGCTGAGGTGGTTTCCCCTCCTCCAGAATGAGACATACATTGTTTTCTCTTTTGTGCAACAAATCATAACTTTCCCTAGGTTAAGTCATACTGTATTTAAATAATCAGATATTACGCCTCTGCTAAGGTTCCAGAGACTTTCCACTAGGAATATCTAAGATCTTGCAGGAGAGGCATGAAGTATATAGCAAGTAATTGTCTCCTTTAGCTTTGCTTTCAGCCACCCACAATGAAAAGCATCCACAGGAGAGTGTCTTTCTACACCACTCTATACCCAACTGCCACCCTTCCAGGCCCCTGCCCATTATTTCTGCTCCTCCAGGCAGGGAAACTGCATGGCCTTACCTCGGATGTTAGACGAGCAAGAATTTCATCACTGCTTTCTTCAGAGTCTTCAATTTTCTGATGAGACCTTTGAAAAACAAAGAGCAAATTACCTTCAGCTTTGCTTACTCAAATTTATCTACCAAGTTATGGGGAACACATGGCAAATAATGGCACTATTGTTATTACATTAATGAAATTATCATGCAATAACATGATGTCAAGAATGCCATAGGAACATAATTCCACTGCAGCTCAACTTTGCCTTCAAAATCAATTAGCAAGAATCTTTTACACCAGTTGAATCCTGAGGATCAAGTATTGTTTTCTAAATGGTATCACAGAATAATCCTGACATGCCAGACTTACAAATATGAGCATGCACAAACATAAGTAGATGTGAATATAGAGTACTTAAGTACTGAAATGCCCTCTAAGTCTAAATGAAATCCAGATTTTGAAAATATAAAATAGGAATTTTCCATTATAGTTGAGTTTCAGCCAAAATAAATTTACTATGAAATGGTCTATTATAGGTCTAATACTATGATAGGAATTATGGGCCATATAAAAGCAAAAGAAGCAATTCACTCTTTCTTAAGGATAAGAACTCAAGAAAAATTATGCATATGTTAAATCACTAAAGAAATATTTAACCTACCTTACATTGTTCTGGAAAGTCATTTAATAATATAATGCATCAGAAAAATTATACCACACAAATATGAAATTATCTATTTGTGAAGGCAAAATCTTATAAAGTATCTTACCCCCTCTCCACCCCAGTTTGGAAAAAGAAAAAAACTAGCTAATGCTGTTTGAATATATATAATTGTCGCCCAGATCTATTTTCCCAAGCAATCCTTTCCAATACCACCTGTGGACTTGGAGGGACTGGTGGTAACTGCCCTGCAGATACGCATTATAAGAATAGCAGTCCAATGATGGATTTTAATCTTGGTAACTGCTGCGGGCCATTGGGAATATTAGCTCTGTGGGGCAGGAAGGTAAAAAGAAGCTTTTTAAGAAGGGAAAAGCTAGATGGATCAAGTCTAGTACTGGTTCCTCATTTTTGTAAATGTAATTAAACCCTTTTACAGAAAAAAGAAACACTCTTTAAATCAGAGCAATAAATTATAAGCCACTGCCTTTACAAAAATTGCATGAAATAGGTATTATAACTAACCTATTCCAAAAAAAGCAAGTTACCTTGATAGTGAGTATATCAAACAATGAGTGTGATTACTACAGTATCTATTCATGGGTTTCCATATAAGGAAGTCATACAGAGGAGAGTTTTATAACCTTTATAACCTAAGCCACCAAACCAAGTTTTTATGTTTAAGCTGAGGTGACGCAGCAGATATGACAAGAAATTAAGAGCCAAACACAGTAGATAAAAGGGCACCAAACAAGGGCTTTCATGCACTGTCTAACTCTGTAGTAAAGCTTGGGCTGGTCATGCTGTCTCACATCTCCCAGACCCCAGCAAGCACCTGAAGGATTAGCTAATGGGCATGTCATATTTCACACTAGCACAGATTCTGTTGTGAATGTGTTTGCAACAAACTGCTGAAAGGAACTCAAAATTTTAAATGAAACTTGTGTATGTGACTGATAATGGTACTTCATGAGTAATGGCTGAGGCACTGTTGGTTTAGCAACAAATAATTTAGTGCCTGTTCAGAAACAAAACTATTTTTCATCATTCTTCTAAAACAAAACATCCCTTGGCAGAAACATTTCTAAAGGAAATATTTGTAAGAGAGACAGAGTGATGATCTCTTGAGAGCTGTACTTAGCCCACAGTTTATTTTTATCACCTCAATCATCATGATTTATGCCCAGAGCTCCCAAGTCTGTCTCCAGCCTCTCAATTTTCCCAGAACTCACCTTGTTTCCTCCATCTGCCATTAAAATGATGCTAGGTGGCAATTCCAAGAACTTTATCTGTGCCCTTGTGTGGACCTTACATTGAACTTCTCTTGCCTCCCTCTCTCATTGCTTCTATAGCATCTCTCACGACTCAGCTTCATGGCCACCATGTGGCCCTTCCCTCCCTCCTGCACTCTGTCCCTATCTTTGCCAGTCATCAGATCCTCTCACTCCCCATCCTCATGCTCAGCTTTCCTTGAGGCCTTCCCCACCCAGCTTCACTGACAGTTGAGGTCCTCACCTTTACAAATTACCATCTTCTAACCAACTTCTTGGCCTCTGGTTTCTACCTTCAGGATCATCATTCTAAAATCCAAATCCAGGTCCTGCTATTCTTCAGACTCCAAATCCTCAGTATCCCAATGCCTACTGAGAGCTCTAGAATTCAGAAATACTCTTGCTTTCCTGCCAATATGCCCCAGATTCCCCTCCACCAGAAGGTACTTAAAGCTCACCCAGCATAAAGGAGGGTCCTGGGGGCAGCACTGGGTAACAGGAATATAGTGGAAGAGCTTAAAAGGGGAAAAGAAGAGAGAAGGCCAACACTCAGCCATTCTTCTTTCTCATTACTGTGGCCACTATTTAACTTAAGCTCCTCTCCATCTGTCTGCCAGAATGTCCAGAAGTACCAGCTCTTTCCCCAGCATGTGTATTTTTTATGAGATAAATTCTGGTTTTATGTATGTACATATATCCTCAATGCAACCCGAAGACAAAGTTTTTATATGTCAAATCATAATAGATAAACAGATGGTGGTGGGGAATAAAGAGAAGGAAATACTTGAATTGTTGCCCATCATCAGTAAAGGGGACTGTGCTGCCCAGGAAACAAGACAGAAAGAGAGACTCTGAGTGTGGTGTTCAAGAGACAGAGAGAGAAACAAACCCTGGCTGCAATCAGCAGGTAACTGCAGCAACAAGTGTAATAAGGAAGAGAAAGAAGAGATAAGGAGTAACCTGGGAAAGAAGACCCATCCCTGAAGCAGCTTTGCATGGCTGCTTCTCAAGGTCTCTGTTTACAAATAAGCTTAAACTAGACCCAGAAATTTGCAAGGGGAAAGTGTCTAGTCCTAGTGCTATAGGAAAATGTCCTTGTAAGTTTGATGAGTCTAAGGGGCTGTTGTGAGACCACAGAAAACACAAGAGCCTGTGGTTCTCTGACCTTCTCACTCTAACAATCAAGCTGGACACATTACCATTCTACCCAACTCCCATCAAAACAAACAAAAAACCTCTCTGTCTTCCCAATAATCTTCCTCATCATAACTGATGGCACCTCCATTTCTCCAGTTGGAAGTCATCCTTAAATTCACTGTCTACACACACTCCATATTTACATCCTGAAAGCCTACTGTCTCCTATTTCACCACCTCTTACCACCTCAACTCCTGCCATGGTGGTCTCAGCCACAAAACCTCTTACCTGAACCCAGGAGCCAGAATGATCTTAACATGTAAGTCAGACCATGTTCCTGCTCTGCTCAAAATCCTCAAATGACTCCCCATCTAATTCAGCAAAAAGTCAAACTCCCAGTGGTTGACAAAGCCCTTGGGACCTTGTATCCTGGTAGTTTGCTAATCTCTCACTCTCTTCACTCTGCTCAGCCGCATGTACTTAAGACTCCAATGTTTCTGCCCTGGGCCTTTACAGTGGCTGCACCTCTACTTAGTACACACCCTCAGATATCTGTGTTGTTTTTTAACTCATGTCCTTCAAGTCTCTGTCAACTTCTTGGAGGCCTTCCCTGGCCCGTATCCTTAGCCTTCATTTCTTACTTTATTTTTCCTCATAAAGTTTTCTGCTTTAACTAACATACATCTCTTTATTTATGAAATTTTATGTCCTCCTCTGTTAGACTAGAGGCTCCACAGGAGAAGAGATTTCTGTCTGTTCTGTTCATTGTTATACCTCTAACACTTAGAATACAGCCTAATATCTAAGAGGTATACAGAAAATACTTTATTGGAGTACCTTAAACTTCAAGGAATGCTCACTTATGAACCACCGTTCATCCCAAGACTACCCCTACACAAGATTTTAGCTGGTTATCTGCAGTTAGTTCAACTGAATGATCCTGCTTATACTCAAGAACTATTCCCAGTAGCTACGCCATTATGCTCCCAGACCATTGTAGCAGTCTTCTTTCGTTGACCTTCCTGTCATTAAAATCCAACAAGAATGACTTTCTTATACCTAATTCCAAAGAGCTGGTAATTTTGAAAACATCTTAAATAAAATACTAGCAATACAACAATCACTCCCAACTATTCACTGTCCCCTAAGAAATAATTAGTACAGATTTAGCGACAGTTAACAATCATTTTATACAACTCATAAAGCAACAGAAAAGCAGCAGGAAGTTCCCCACCTGAGAAGGTCTCCCAACACACTATTTGCTCTGAGAAGGTTAAATGGTCACATGGTATTGAGGTCTAGTAAAGAGCCTTAGGAGACAGTGCAGAGGAGGCATGATCTGGGCAATGGGATTCCTTTATACCACTCAGGCCCAGTATAATCTCTTAGCAACTTGGATTTAATTGGTGTCCCTGTGGAGGTTCTCAGAATTTTCTTAGTGAGAATTCCTTGATGAGGATTAGTATGATACAACTGAGATTATCCCAATAAAGGTGGCTTTTTTTTTGAATACTCTTTTTATCACTCTATAAAAGAGACAAAACCCACATTCCTATATCACATTTGGACCAAAGACATTTCTGATTCAAGATCTAAGAACAGGGCCTCCCTAGTGGCACAGGGGTTAAGGACAGCTCTGTCAAGCTATCACTAGCCACTGCAACACGAATTTGATTCCCAGTCAGCTCAGGAGCTACCCACATGGTGCAGCAGACCTCCCTTGCCTCTCCCGCTGCTCTCCTTAGCAGGCTTTCAGTAGATAAGCCTGTTCTGCTCCCCACTCTCTCTGGTGAGTCCTCTCACCCCCCGCACCTCTGGCTTATAGCCCAGTTCTTGTATGCATAAATAAATAAATCTTTTTAAAAAAAGATGTAAGAACAATCAGTACCATTTTAGCTTTGGAAAATCCTACTTCTTTTTTCAGCAGTAGAAAAGGTTTCCCAGTATCCCATGGTAGAAGGTAAGAAGCATTTTCTTACAGAAGTATTATTCAAATAATATCATTTTACATTTATATAT